ACGCCCAAGCCCATCCGGAAGGCCATACAGAAGTCGGAGAGCGGTGATGATTTCTGGTCGCAGATCGGATCACGGGAGACGCTCTACATGACCAATCGGAAGAAGGCGATTACAGAGCGGCAGGAGAAGGTCCAGGAAGAGAGTGGCGAAGTGGAAGAGCAGCTACAGTCAAGGACTACACCAACGACACCTAAGCTCAAGTCCGAACTTCTTATTGAGCTCAAGACAACAGGAGAGAATACAGCTTCTACAACAGCTGCTAAGACGACTACACCAACTTCACCAAAGATTACAGCAGCAACACCACAAATAGGCGGAGTCAAAACCACTCTGGCAAGAGCAAAAAGCCCACCAAAAGTTGCCCCAGCAACTGATTCAACAGGAGGAGAAAGACGATCAAGTGCAGAAACTAAAAAGACTTCACCAAAGACAACAACAATTACTACAACAACAGATCTAATCAAATTAACACCAGCATTGACAAAAGATTCGCCAACAACGGTTCTACCCAAATTGACAATCGTTGCAAAGCCTAGAGACTCACCAGTGGCTACACCAACAGCTACACCAACAAAAGATTTACCAACGAAAAAATCCGCAAGTGCTTCAACAACGATAGATGCAACAAAATCAAAACTAACAACTACGCCAAAAGCAGATTTAGCAATACAGAAATCAATAATAGATTACCCAACGAAAGATTCACCAACAAAAAAATCCACAGCAGCTACAACAACCCCACCCATAGATTCACCAAAAATTACTGCAACACCAACGGAAGACAAAAAATCAACACCAAAAACCACGAAGGCTTCACCAACGATTTCACCCAAAAATTCAACTACAACGACAACATCAAAGGTGAAATTACCAAAAACTACAACAGAAAAGATATTATCAACAGCTGTGTCAACAACCAAGACGCCAACAACACCAGAATCGCCAACACCAGCACCAACAACAGCAACACCAACATCAGAACCAACAACAACGACAAAAGCAACAGGAAAACCAACATCGCCAAAGACAAAGGTGCTGGCATCTGGCAACGCTGCACAGACGGGCATCCCAGTTGTCATGACAACGACAAATGCTGTGGCAAAATCTGCAACAGCAACAACAACAGCACCAGCGACGGGAGGGCCAAAAATAAATAGCGGGCAATCGGCCAAGTCACCTGAACAACAACAGGCAACAACAGCCGTCGCCGCCGTCGGCAGCGTCGTCTCAGTGCCAGTGGCAGTGCCTGCCACGAAATTAAATAAAACAACGCACAAGGAACAGAATCTGCAGCAGCAGCCACTGCAACAACCAGCAGAAGGAGCTGCCGCAACAACAACATTGAGGCCAACGGAAATCAAACCGAAATTTGCGGAAACTGTTGAGCCAACGGGCAAGTCAAAGGTCCCATCACCGAAAGCGACAAAGCCAAAAAGTGCCGGTAAAACAAATAATGCGGTAAAAAAGAAGGCAGCCACACCAACTACTGCAGCTGCAGCTGCAACAGCCACTGCAACTGCAACTGCAGCAGCAGTAACATCCACAGCAGCAGCAGCAGCAGCAGCAGCAGCAACATCAACAGCTGAGAGCAATGTGACCCCAATCAATGCCGATCAATTTATAACGCTGGCCCCCACAAAGGCGGCCAAAACATCGCCAGGGAAGCAGCAGCAGCAGCAACAACCACAGGCGAAATTGGTGGCCACAAATGCGTCATCGCTGGCGGCAGTCGCTGCAACGACAACGCCAACGCCAACACCTACAACAATTGCTCCTGCTGCCACTGCCACTGCCGCTGCAGCAACAGCAACAGCGATAACAATAGAGCGATCTGTGGCCAGTGTTGATGTTGCAGCCGCAGTCGCTGGGATCGGGATCGAGATCGGCATCGGCATCGACACCAACATCGGCGATGACCGAAGCGGCGACGGCAACGGCAACGCCAACAGCTGCGGCGAAGGCGTCGGCAATAATTTATCAAAGTTTGCAACAGTATCGAATTTGGCACAGTGTCTGCGAGACGTTGATGCCGAGCTCGAGGACTATATACCATCGTCTGCGGAGAATAGCGACGACGACAGTTCGGACGATTACTCCAGCGCGGCCGGTTGTGCGAATCTGAGCGCCAGCATGAAGAAGAAGCAGCGCAAGGAGAAGAAGAAGCAGAAGGCGAAAGGGGCCGCTGCAGCGCCGCCCCGTTTCGATCCCCACAAGAAGGTCAAAATCGATACGACCAACAAGTGCTATGTGAAGGAGGAGGCGCCCCGGTACCCACTGGTGGCCACGCCACGGCCCCTGTGGAAGCGCGAAAAGATCGTCTACTCCGACGAGAACACAGACGACGAGAGCAGCGAGGAGGGCAGCGAGGCCACCGCCGGCTCCCTCGACGAGGACAGTGATGACGAGAGCGAGGAGTGCAGCTCCTCCAGCAGCAGCGCCAGCTCCGTGGAGTCCGAAGCGGCGGCAACCAGCAAGAGAAGAACGGACGAGGCCGATGGAACGACACCGGCTGCCGCTGCTGGGGGCAGCAGCAGTACAGTCACCTCAGCGGCGACTCTGAGCGTGGGTGCGGCATCCACTTCGACATCCAGCTCGCCATCGATCATACGGATGAGCACGTGCAGCAATGATTCCGGCTTCGAGGGCGGCACAGCACCCTCCAGTCCCAAGAAAATGCTAGGTAAGGATCCTTGGTATCCCAGCCCCCATTTGGGGCTCCCTGTACGATCCGACCAGATCCCAGACGGAAAACACTTCTTTCAGACCTCGCCCCCGCCCCTGATGGTCACTTGAGTGCGGCACGTGTCGCCTTCGGGTCAGGGCGTACAAGTATTGAAAATGCCAGAAATTTGCTTTCATTTTCAAAATACTCGCACTCTCACGCACACATCGGAAAACGTATAGACAAACGATATAGATATCGTAGACTCGTATGTAGATAGAGACCTCAGGCATGCGGACTATGCCGTAGAAGAAGAAATACAGCAAAAACATATAAACAAGCCATTATATATAGATCTGAATGCGGCATTTCAGCATTATGCGATCTCTAGAAACCATTGTCCGAATGCTCTGATCGGCGGAGTACTCTCGTGTAGTGGCAGATCGCAGAACTTCCAGGAAAATAAATGTCACATGCCTGGGTTTTGGTGTGTTCTAGATGGGAACAATGGAAAGCGTTCAGTGAACCCAAACCTGTAGGAGGAACAAAAAAAAAGCAACAAATTTCCTGTTTTCTTTTTTGGTAGAAGTTTTTCGGTAGTATTGGATCTGCTATGCAAATTTTGAATGAACAAGGGGATATTTATGTGTGTTCCCGTTTATTTTTTGGAAATTATGAATTAACCATTGTTCTCTTCTACATATTTTCTGATATTTTGAAAAAAATGTATATTATTTTATAATGTGTTTTGATTCGAAGAAAGCGCTGTTCAAGCAGTTTAATCTGTATTTTCTTGTGGTTTGTCTTTCGTGAGATGTTTTACGACTTTTTTGTAAATTTTGCAAAGAAAGTACCACGTCAATAATTTTTTTTTTTGATTCTCGTATTGCCAGTATTTTCTTCTCGTTTCGAGAAATTCTTCGTCATTCAATTTCATAGTAATTCTTATGTTATACAGAATCTACCAAGGGTTTCCATTTGTTTTTTAGTTTTTCCAATTATTGAGTATAGTTCAGATTTGTATTGCCCTGTTCTCAAGATTTATCTGTTATTTCTGATGATTCTACTGCATAAACGTTTGTTATTTTTCTCCAGGTTTTCTAGGGTTATCTAGTTTTTCAACCATTTAAATCCGCATTGTATCATCTCTTATTGTATCTTATTTGTAAGTGTTTTCCAAAGTTTGCATTTTCTGAGATTTAAATACGATTCGCATGGACTTTGATTGCATTCAGTATTACATCTGCATTCTTGCCGCATCGTTTGTGAATAGCTTCTCAGACTTCCTCATCGAGACGAAAATTTTACCAAATTAGCCATAAATTCGGTTAATCGGAGGCAATTTATCTACGATGGAAAGATATTTGATCTTATCCGAGTGGATAACCAATCAACTTCCTATATGTTTCGATTGATTCTCCCTTTATGTAAGTTTTTGCAGAGAAATTCTTTGCCTTTGATTACTGTTCGGTTCAGTTCTGTTCTGTTCCGTGCTTGCGTTGCTTCGTTTCCTTGATGTTTGTGCGAGAATTTGCCAGAGATCGGATGCCAGAAGATCCCAGAGAAAGGGAGGTAGAAAGAATCGACAAGTTGGCATTTTACTTTTAGCCGAAAAACAACAAATGAAAACAAATTGTTTAGGTCATCGTTGTGTCTGCCTCTGCCTCTGTCTCTGTCTCTACCTCTTGTCTGCGTCTGCCCCTTGTCTGTCTCTGCCTCTGCCTTTGCTGTTTAACGAATGAAAGCGCTCTCTAGAATGATACAAAATCATATGTATATGTGGATGTGATTATGTATATAGTACACAAATCTCTCCAATCTGCTGACTTAACTATGAGCCCAATACAGTTATGAGCTAGAAAGGCAATTTAATTGTAGATTATATAAATAGTTCGTTCGCACTGCGTATACGTGCTGACTACTGGATGCCGCTACAGATATCACGTATACGCAGGGTGTGCAATGAATCCCCTAATAAGTGTGAAAAAACAAACACGATTTCCCAATCCACCCACAATCTCCAACACTAGCAATGGGGAATGGGGAATGGGGAATAGGGCATTCGGCGGATATGCGTTGGATCTCCTAAATGAGGAGGAGTACTACGCACAAGAACATTTCTCGAGACAAGAAAGCGTGCAGCCAATAAATCGCATTGAGTAAACCTCTCCACCTGCTCCCCAAATCAACAATTTAATAACCATTTGTATGCAATTAATTCCCAACACTCTCTCCTCGGATCCAATTCTATACTATGCGATGCGATGCCATGGGATGCGTGGGCATATACTATATACTATATACAACCCGATCCAAATCCGAAACGCACGCGAACCAGAATGTGACGTGAATTGCCACAAGAAATGCGAACGGCTCACGGCCAATTTATGCGGCGTCAATCAGAAACTCATCGTCGAGGCGCTCACCTACGTGAAGCGAGGTAAACGACGGTAAAATCACCTCAGCAAAGCACAGAACCCTGAAGGACATTGAATAACCAAAAAATAATATTCATAAATTTGTGGTTAACCTTTTTTTTTGATTTTGCCCAAACAGAGTTCAGCTGTGGAAATGTGTGGAAGATCTTTTCATCCAATGGGGGAGCATCATTTAAAAATATAGCTTAGGATTTCCATAAATCTTTAAGATGAGATTTGGATTGACACTGAAGAAAAATTTGTATAGCTTAAGAGAAAAGACAAAAGTCAAAAGTGAATTAGGCAATTAGGCAATACGGAAGAAAAAAAATCTATGAAACCATTAGAACAGTTGAATAAAACCGAGAGTAGAGAGGTCAAAAGAGAAGGATAGATTATAAAGTATGAGGGAAGAATGAAAACAGAGCTAAGATAGGTACAGATTTAAACCCTACTGAATGAAATTATCTAGTTCACACATTCCCACCGAATCGGTGGGCAAAATCAATCAATGTTAACCTCAGAGCCATAAAATTAAAGATCAAAACCTTGAATTCTCGTCTCGAACTCTCGATAAATTAGGCGCCCGCGAAACCCGTGACTCGCCCAGCACGCCGCCCAGCCTGAATCCAGCCTATAAGATCGAGGCCAGTGATGAACACGATGGTATGGTGATCCTTTTAGTATATTAACTACCTCACAATCGATACAATAGATAGTAAGATAAGTTCCACTCAAGTGACCATCAGAGATGACCCCCAAGCACTACATAATCTCTAACTTCTGTACTAATTTGTATCTTCAAGTGATTTTAACTAACTTTTACTTTACTTTTACTTTGATGCTGTTCTACTCTTTGCTATATCCGCTATTATCGCACAGAAACATCATATACATATTCACAATTCCAAAAATCCGGACGTTTCACTGCGCCAGCAACAGTAATACCTAGATTTAAGAATTATTCGGTAGATGATTTCCACTTTCTCGCCGTTCTCGGCAAGGGAAGTTTCGGCAAGGTAAGCAACGCATTTTACAATATCTATATGTACGATCTTTATTCAAGACATTCATCTATTTTCCATTGATTGGGATAGGTTCTGCTGGCTGAGCTGCGTGAAACCACATACTACTATGCCATCAAGTGTCTGAAAAAGGACGTCGTTCTGGAGGATGACGATGTGGACTCGACGCTGATCGAACGCAAAGTCTTGGCCCTGGGCACCAAGCATCCGTATCTGTGCCATCTGTTTTGCACCTTTCAAACGGAGGTAAGTTGTCCTTGATCGGGCTCACTCGCTTCCGGCGCGTATTCGCCTTCGCTGTAAATATTTGTTTTAACGGAGGTCTGTGTTGGGTCGTGGTCAGGGAAACATTATAAATATTTGGAGCGATACACAGAAGCAATAAATGCTGTATCTGTTCCGTAATTATAAGCTATTAAAAAAACAGAAAACGGTTGTGGATCCAGAGAATCCCTTTTCTTGGTCGTCCGGTTTGCTCCTTTGAAAACTAGAACCCGATCGGGGTCACCAGTTTGAAATGATCCTTAGAATAAGCCGTGCGATATGGTTACACACCCAAGTTATTTGGTTTGTCGTTATTCTATTAGGCATCCGTGTGGGGATCATCTGTTGTACACCATTCGATCGGAGATGCGCCCCCGTCGGGGTCACCGTCACCCAGTGCGCTCATAGGTAAACACATAACCGATAAATAGATATACCAATTGATCGAGTGGTTGTGCCGGCTATAATTAGCCAGAGAAAAGGTAAAACGTTCTATAATTACTGCCTCTGGGTGTGACCATCGATTGGGGCACACGACGTCGGTCGGACATGACAGAGTCAGTCAGCTCACCATGTAGATCAGGGTGCCTGTCCGTCCCAGCTGTGCGTTCAATAAGTTTCTGTTTTTGCTCTGCACTGCTCTGCTCTGCATCTGCATTTGCTTCTGCTTCTGCATCTTTCGTCTTGCATCGGCGTCTCTTGCATTGACACCGATTAGAAGGTATTTTAATTATTTATGACTTTGAGGATACATTCTATTGGGGGCCAGTGCGCACAATCTCTCTTTATCTGTATCTCTCATCTCTAATCTATTGATAAAAGTAATCATCCGATCCGATCCCATGCTTTTCAGAGCCATTTGTTCTTCGTGATGGAGTATCTGAATGGCGGTGATCTCATGTTCCACATACAGGAGAGTGGACGCTTCTCCGAGGAGCGAGCACGATTCTATGGCGCTGAAATAATCTCTGGCCTCAAATTCCTGCACAAAAAGGGCATAATCTACAGGTTAGCATCACATATCGTATATTGATTATGGCATTGCCAATTATTTCTCGTTCAGGGATCTCAAATTGGATAACGTTCTGCTGGACTACGAGGGGCATGTACGTATTGCCGATTTCGGCATGTGTAAGCTGCAGATCTACTTGGACAAGACGGCCGACAGTTTTTGCGGCACACCCGATTATATGGCGCCCGAAATTATTAAGGTAAAATATCCCCCATTCCTTATAGTATTTTTTCGATACGATTATTTCATATTCGTATTTATTCCTAAAATTCTATTGGTGCTTGTTTTGCGTACAGGGTGAAAAGTACAATCAGAATGTGGATTGGTGGTCGTTCGGGGTGCTGCTCTATGAAATGCTGATCGGCCAATCGCCATTCAGTGGCTGCGACGAGGACGAGCTCTTCTGGTCCATATGCAACGAAATTCCATGGTTCCCCGTCTACATATCCGCCGAGGCCACGGGCATACTCAAAGGGGTAAAGTATATTTATCTTCTTCGAGGACTTTCCAATCTAATTTCGTTGGCTTTTTCGCAGTTGCTGGAGAAGGATTTCGCGAAAAGGATTGGTTCACAGTACAGTCCAGCTGGTGATATAGCCGATCATATATTCTTTAGGCCCATTGACTGGAATCTGCTCGAGAAGCGGCAAATCGAGCCTCCCTTCAAGCCCCAAGTGGTAAGTGATCCCCATGTCTGGCTGAATGGATCAGGAATGCACTCGTATTTTTGGTAATCTCCATTTTCGCGCAGAAACATCCCCTGGATACGCAATACTTCGATCGAGTGTTCACCAGGGAGCGGGTTCGGCTCACACCCATCGACAAGGAGATACTGGCCTCCATGGATCAGAAGCAGTTCCATGGCTTCACCTACACGAATCCCCACATCACATTGGACTAGATCTAAGCCTATCCTGAAACCAACTACACCTGCACCTACACCTAAATCTAAAGCTAAATCAATATCTTAACTAATTCTTTAGAGCAACAGTATTTGTATATGTAAATATTCATTATGAAACCATATTGAAACCATCCATTTCGCTGGGGAGGAGAGCCGAGCCACGAAGGTAGAGGGAACTCGAGGATCGAGGATAGTTTTGAAGAGGGTCTAATTTTTAGATTAGTTCGAATGTGAGAGTGCACAATACATGGCTCTCTCGAGTATAACTCTAGTCAATACACCTAGCCATACACCTATTTCTAAGTCTATAAATTCTACTATAATTGTACAGATATCCTTCTCTCTATCATATACATACAACACACACAAACACGTTCACAAATACACGCATACTATATACATACATACATATATATATGGACAAGTTTTTTTTTTGGCAACTTTTTTGTTCTTAATTTTAGTGATACGCCAAAAAGCTCTACGTCTATGAGAAATAAAAATACAAATAAAAATCAAATGAAAAGCAAAAACAAACAACCAACAATGCCTCAATCAAATTCGATTGTGATCTGTGGGCTACCGTTAGCGGTACAGTGCGTTTCGTAGACATCAGACAGTTTGAAGTCTCAATCTCACTTACTGTTTGGTAATAATTCATTCTCAAAGTGCGGGTAGAATATCCTTAAGCAGTGGGACATTGAATCAAAGAGTCGGAATCGATCCCTAATGAATTTATTATTACCGTGTATTACTTATCGAAGAGATTATCGATTACTGTGAGAATACCTATGGACAAACGAGTATCTTAGTAGTAAATAGCTTCACTGCCGCCTTACAGTCCCGAACCGCAACACCGCCCCACCGCATACATGCACCCAAAACCCCTAATACTACAAATGCGAAGCAGTGAGAGTGGACCCAGTGGAATGATTAGTCAACTGGCAGAACCTGGTTCCAGTGAAAATTTAACAGCTTCACTCCCGCTTTTCCACCGGCGCTAATTTGCATAGAGATTTTACTTTTTACCGGTACCGGCATACGCTGGGGCGGACATGACATCGGTCTTTGTTTCAATGCTAATGAGCCGCAGAGATGTGTGCGTGTGTTTGGGCTTTGTTTAGGCCACCATTCCAGGCCGCAGCGAGAGTGGATGGGTCGTTTTTTAATGGGCACTTTAATGGCCTGCGAACCAGTTTGATGGCAGGCAGAAGGCAGCGGCAGCAAAGAATTATTCTTGTTAACTCTGGCATAAATCAGTTATAAGCCAACACATACGAGTGCGACATTTTATTAATTCTTTCTGTCCATGTGCTGTGTTGCTCATAGAAATGCGAGTAATACTAGAGGAAATAATAGAGGAAAGAGTCTCTGTTGTGCTCTGCTCTGGCTGCTCCTCTGCTGGCCGTCAAACAACAAGCCCCCAAACAATAAACGCCATAGCTCGCGGGCCAGTTATGTTTTTATTTTCAATTCAAAGTGTTGGCCAAGCTCATGTACAGTGGGTCGAAAGTGGGCTATAACTTAACCAGAAATATGTACAACAGCATGGTGCAGAAAATCCTCCACTTATAACATATGAAAGCAGGTGAATTTGGTTTGGTTTAGCTGCGAATTTAGGGTAATCGAAGTGTTTCAATTTAAGCCGATTTTCATTTACTTGCATTTTCACTATTTTTTAAAAATATATCTCTTGAAAGATACTAAATATCTGGTACGATTATTAATATAATGTAAATACCTGGCCCCACAGTGCGGCTGTGGCAAACGGTATTTTCTCTAATTAATTCGTTTTTATGAGCGCAGTGCACAGTGCGCCAGCTCCACTCAATCCGACTCGACTCGGCTCAGGTCGGCCTGGCTGCCCCGTCAGTCGGCGTGTCGCTGGTCAGTTGGTGCAACACGGGCCTAGAACGAGCTCCACTGGCTCTCCACAATCCCTGCCCTGATCCCCGATTAAATATCAGTGTTTTTTGGTTTTTTATTGTGCTGTTGTACTGTTGTACTGTGACTTTTGTGAGTGAACAAAATAGTTGGCAATCTAATCAGGGATTGCAGAACATGATCCATAACAAACAGACAAGGAATCTTCTACTCGTAACTGAAAAACGTTGAAAAATGCTAAGTGTCAGCGCTTTGAGCCTCGTCAGTCTTTTGGGTCTGGTCAGGGGCTACGGCTATGGCCCACCGCAGCAGCCGCTGCTGAGGAACATCATCAAGGTGCGGGCCAGCGGCTTCATGCCCTTCGAATCAGATTTCCTGCTGCCTCTGGGTATCCTGCGGCAGCTGCAGGCAACCGATCGCGCCTCGCGCTTCATCGGCCATCGGCCCAAGAGCAAGCCACAACCCAAGCCCAAAAAGCCACAGCAGGTGCGCCTGGAACGGGCTCATCCTAGGGGTGGCAAGACCCAGCATCCCGGCACCCAGATGTACAATCTCATCGACGATGATGGCGAGCTGCTGCTCAATCTGAGAGTCCACAACGAACAGCAGCAGGTCAACCCAACAGCCCAGGGCAACCTCCCAGGGAGTCATCAAGCTATCATTCCGGGGCACCACCAGCTGGAGGAGCCATCGCCCTACGACTCGCCCTGGCTGCCATCCAAGTGGCGGCCAACGACAGCCAGTAGCCTGCTCCTTGGAGTCACCTCATCCTCGCCACGACCGCTGCCCCTGCACCAGTATCTGCGAGGCAGCGGCAGCAGTGGGAATCGGCTCGAGCAGGACACGGCCAAGCGACGACGATATGACTGGCCCCACAAGTGAGGACCGGCTGAAGCCCCAGCTGAACCGAGCCGAATGCTCACCCAAATTTATTTATTCCATTTATAGATATGCATAACACACTGAATCACCCAAAACACACACTCGTACGAGCTTACACACAGATACAATACACAACAACAATAAACTGTAAGATACAAAATATACACATATAACAGCGATAAACCAATCCATGAACGGGTCGTTGAGCTACCGCTAATTTGGCTTTGATTATGGTAATTTTGGTCGATTGATAGTGTTGAAAGTGAAACTGAAGCTGAAACGAATCGAAAGTGCCAAGGGTATGAAGGCAATCGAACGAATTCCACCGTGAATGAAGAACATTCACATTCAATTTGCGAATGGAGAACTATCTGAAGCCACTTGTTCCACATATTCCAGAAAATTACTAGTTAATACATACATATATCGTTTTCTTTAAGTACAGAATGTCGCTCTGCTTCCATTCCGAGTGTCTCTAGTGGCCGTTAATATGTGTGCTCGGTGTGAGGACTCCTCTGAATATATTTTACTTAAAATCTACATTTTATACACATTACATATGTTAGCAGATCTGTTGACAGAGACTGATTTGATTGATCAAACATTATGCAATTATGTTAAAGTTTTCACTTTCAAGAAAATCATATACTATCCAGGTAAAAAAAAACCCATCAACCGGTAAATCGATGAATACTGAAGCTCTTTCTTTCTCTTTCCCTAGCATAATGTGTATAAACCATTTACATAAAAACTAGCAAACCATTTGCAACAATATTGTGAACTATTTCTGTTGCTCCGCACGATGTCGTTTGGAGGAATGGATTGAAAGTTTTAATGGTTTTCAGAAACAGGTTTCAGGTAGTTGCATTTTTCCTGATCCGCAATACATACCATCTGACTCATGCTTGAGTTTGAGCACATGCCAATAGGGACATTCTTCATCCATATTAAAAATCAGCACTTTCGGATGAGAATATACATATATATATTTATGTATGTGAGCTTATGATTTATACAACTTGTACAATATATTTTATATGTCGTTTGGTATCGCTGCTCTCAAAAGAAACGATTTCATAAAAATCGGTCGAACCGTTTGAGAGATTTCATCTGGTTCCATTTTTCCTTCTTTTCTATTCTAACACCAACACCAGCCGTTACATCTCGCTTCCCTCCGCTAGGGGCGCACACTGCAGTATGAAGCGTGCGTGTGGGAGAGAGAAAGAGATGATTAAGCCGTGATTGGCCACTGAAATTTAATTTGTTCCTTCTGGCTATAATATTGACCCGATCTGATTCAGATTCAGCAGTCTGGTAGATATGGTCATTGTGTGTGACTCTGGGTTTCTTGTTTTCTCGTATCTTCAAAATTGTAGCTGCCACAGATTTTCGTTCTTTGTGGAGTTGAAGGGGGCGTTGCAAAAGTTTGAAACAAACCTGATTCAGTGGAATATCTTGAGTCTAATCCAGATTTCTAACCAAATTTGGTTGCTCTAGCTCTTATAGTCTCTTAGAACTTGGCGTCAACCAACACGGACAGCCGGACTGTCAGACATGGCTATATCGATTCGTCTATTAATGCTGATCAAGAATATATATACTTTATGGTGTCGGAAACGCTTCCTTCTGGCCGTTACACATATCCACTTCCACCAAAAAGCTAATATACACCCATGCTTATTGAGCATCGGGTATAAAAACAAGATCAAAAATAAATTATGGCTGACGGAAAAGATATGTACACATAATCCTTAAAGCAAATTCTTTATACAAATTGTATCATTAGATATGGCCATAAGGTCTAATAGAAACTGCATATATATGGAAGGAGACCATCGATGGTTGTCATGGTGTGGGCAAGAACTCTGCAAAGAAATAATAAATAAATATGAGCATTAGGTATCTTTTTGTTGATTTCCAAAAATTACCTATTTGCAAGACGCAACCACCTTCATCTGACAGGGTAAACACATGCTCTGGGTAATTCCGATATCGATAGGAACCTCGCGGGAGTGTAAAACTGCTATAAAGGTGCTTCAAGCGCTTCAATCGTTTGCCACTTTATCGTTGACTTAATTCCCAACCCGAACGGATGCCAAATTCTGAATCATTATAATTTACAGATGATTTATTTTCTCCTTGTGGGAACGATTTACAACTAAAGTGAGAGGTACAATGGATATTCGTAGAACAGTGTAAAAAAATAACAAATGGGAAGAAAAAAATGTCTAAAACTACTTAACAAGGGAGGTGGAGGGGGGATGGGGGACTTCGGGATTAGTTCGGGATCAGTTCGGGGGCTATGACACAGGCCGAATCACAGAGAGGGCGCGCGGGGGAGAGATTTATTTCCAGCCACCGGATGGGGGCAGGTAGCCCGGCTGGGGAGCCGACAACACAGGTGGCAGGTACTCGTTGCTCAGAGGAGCCGCACCGTGTCCGTGCGAGTGTCCCTCTTCGTGGATCACCTGGATGGTCTTGATCTCCTCCTGACCGCCAGCGAAGCCGCCGTGGGAGTGTCCGTGATCGTGGCTGTGACCGCCCTCTTCGTGGATAACCTTAATGGTCTTCACCTCCTCGTGTCCGTGTCCATGTCCTCCGAATCCGTGGTCGTGTCCGCCGGAATAGCCACCGCCGCCGCCCAGAGCAAGACCCTCCTCATGGATCACCTTCACAGTCTTGATCTCCTGGTGTCCGCCGGAGTAGCCGCCGCCATGACCGCCGGAATAACCGCCGCCATGTCCGCCGGAGAAACCGCCGAGACCACCAGCCTCCTGGTGGATGACCTTAACAGTCTTCACCTCCTGGTGTCCGCCGGAGTAACCACCGCCGTGTCCGCCGGAGAAACCGCCGCCATGTCCGTGGGCGCCGCCCTCCTGGTGGATAACCTTGATGGTCTTGACCTCCTCGTGTCCGTGTCCATGTCCGCCGTATCCGTGGTCGAGTCCGCCGGCATAACCGCCGCCGCCGCCCAGAGCAATACCCTCTTCGTGGATGACCTTGACGGTCTTGATCTCCTGGTGTCCGCCGGAGTAGCCGCCACCGTGTCCGCCAGAATAGCCACCGCCGTGACCGCCAGAGAAACCGCCGCCGTGTCCGCCGCTCTCCTGGTGGATGACCTTGATGGTCTTCACCTCCTGGTGTCCGCCGGAGTAGCCGCCGCCGGAGTAGCCGCCGCCGGAATAGCCGCCGCCGTGTCCGCCGCCCTCCTGGTGGATGACCTTGATGGTCTTCACCTCCTGATGGCCACCACCGCCACCACCTCCGCCAACGCCATAACTGTAGCCTCCACCACCGCCGCCGCCACCGCCGGAGCCGCCGCCGATGAAGCCAGCCGAGCTGGTGGCGACCAAAGCAGCCAGGAGACACACGAAGATCTGCGAGTAGGAGAGGAGAGGAGAAACATGCTGAGATCACTCCTTGGATGGTGAGAACAGACTAGGGGACTCACCTTCATTGCTGGAAGTTTCTTGCTTGGGGGGACGAAAACTGTGGAACTTCACGAAGCCGAAGAAAGCGTTGAGTTAACTGATGACCAACTGCCTGCAGTCGGTGGCTTTTATACAGATCTCCGCTCGATCGCTCTCTGACCGCAGAGATCCAAGGGCTGGCAGAGCAGATGGTTACGAGACGATCACCCGACGATGCTCCATCTCCATCTTTGTCTTCGTCTCCGGCTTTCGCCTGCAGCATTCGGTGGCTCGTCTTGCTTTCGTCATCGACATGGGCATCCCCCACACCTGCCCCGTTCTCTTCGGGCTCCTCTGGAGCATATGGAGCATACGGATTAGAAGAAGTTGCGACAACAAACCAGTAACCAGTGGGAAATGCAAATGAGTTCAACCCAAAAGGCAAGCGCATTTCCATAATTAGGCCAAAACCAACGACTCTGTTTATTGATCCGCCAGGCATGAACGAATCGGCGTCGGGGCTCTTACCGACCTAATGATGGCCCCCGGCCCTGGGCCCGGCCCCCGCCAGGTATTGCAGTCTCGGACCGCGAACGAGTAGGAAAGGTCAGTGCGGGTCAGGTCAGACTTTCTCAATCCCTAAATGACGACGAGGGCGTCTCATGGAAGGTAGAGAGTTGTGGAAGCGATTCAAATTTCATACCAAATGATCATGATCAGAAGAAGCCACCAAAGTTTTCCTTTAGAACATCCATCTGAATGGCCACGTGATCTCAAGCTCATCGAGAGGAATACTACTCCGAAATAAATCACTAAATCCTGGTGCTTTAATCTCTTCATAGGCAATCTATACAAATCCTTAAGACCGGACGCATACTTTTAGACATACATATAATCGAGATGAATTTCCCAAAACATACGACACCTCTGAACTTCTTCGATCTTTTCAGTTACAATACGAATATTTTTAACCTTTCTTCTCAACTTTCTTGCCCCAAAAAGATACAGAACGAGGGGGAACGTTGTGAGTTGCTGCGGACACCGCAACTCTACGGTTATACCCGATACTAAGTCAGTATGGCTCTCCTCCGGCAGACGCCGCTAATATTTAACGACACGACAAAGAGTGCGTGCGAGAGAGACAGAAAATCAGTCTGAGCGTGACGTCGGGCGCTGCGTAGCCACTGCAAATTGATTTGTTCCTTTTGGCTAAAAAAATGGTCTGATCTGATCCAGATTCAGCAATCTAATAGATATGGTCATTATCTATGATTCTGCGTTTTTAGTTTTCTCAAATCTGCAATATTGTGGATGCAACAGATTTTCGTCCTTTGTGGGGGCGGATGGAGGTGGGGCGAAATTCTGAGATATACGTTTTATAGTGACATCTTAAAGGAGTGTGTGCACCAAATTTGGTTACTATAGCCTTAATAGTCTCTGAGATTTGTGGTTGCCTCAGATTTTCGTCCTTTGCGGGGGCGGAAGGGGGTGTGGCGAAATTTGGACAGGAAACGGTCAAGGTCCGATATCACAGGAGTGTGGATACCAAATTTGGTTGCTCTGGCTTTTATAGGTTCTGAGATCCTTGAACTCATATTTTGCAATTGGCAAAACCGACCATGAAACCTGTGTGTTAGAGTGAGACAGAGCGAGAAAGAGTGAAATTGTTTTCGTGATTCTGGCTGTAATAATTATACGATCTGGTTCAGATTTTGCACTCTAGAAGATATAGTCATCTTCTACGACATATCACAGAAGTCTGGATCCAAAACATCGTTGCTCTAGCTCTTATAGTCTTTGAGCATTAGGCGCTGAAGGGGACGGACAGACGGACAGACAGACAGACGGACGGACGGACAGACAGACAGGGCTCAATCGACTCGGCTATTGATGCTGATCAAGAATATATATACTTTATAGGGTCGGAAACGATTCCTTCTGGACGTTACACACATCCACTTTTACCACAAATCTAATATACCCCAATACTCATTTTGAGTATCGGGTATAAAAAGTGACTCCAAACATACATCAAAAGCTGTACTTGAGATCTCTTAAAAAGCTTTAAATTATTGAGTATTATTATTTGGTTCAGTAGAATTCCACCAGAAAAACCATAAAAAATTACAAAAAATATTCAAAAGCATAATACCATGAAGCTTAGAATGATCTTCTGCCTCTTCTGAATATGCGTAAAGGATATCTCCGAACAGAAGACCAACTCTTAAAACGAAATCCATGGCATGCAAACTTTTGCCACTTATTTCATATCAAAATTTATTTTTTATTTACCCGAAACTGAAAGAAAAAATAAATCCAATAAAAAACTAAACCAATATCTATGCAAATATGTTTGCAATAATTTTGCTTTAAATTTCGCATTCAAGTCAGCGGCTCTTCTCTCCCCATCTCGGTTTTTTGGATCACTTTGCCTCCTAAATGCTTTTTGATTGGCCAACTGAGGGAGTTGTGTAAAACAAAGCGCAAAACAAACAGCAACAGAAATCGAAACAGAAACAGAAGAGAAAGATGGTACAGAAGATGAAAAAGCCGTAAAATGGTTTGCCCGAAAGGGCGAACCCAAACCCAAACATAAGTCCCAGTCCGACCGAAGCAAAAGCCAAATTGAATCATTTAAATAATATTACGATACCAAATTGGCTCTGCATTCGGGCTATTAATCACATCTGACAGGGACAGCCCCCAAACAGATGTTGAAAACGAAACAAATCGTAGAAGAAAGGCCCCGTTTCATTGGGTCGAAGCCTTAAATACCTCTAAATAAATAATAGAGTAGCTAAATGTTATCATATTTTCATGAACATTAAGGTGGTTTATCTACATACATGGCAACATTTTGGCAGTCTATTTGCATAGTTACATAGGAGTTTCGTTGTTCTTTTATGGGAGAGATCTTCGCCAACTACAGGGTATAGTTCCCTAATTTCCCGTATCTGCTTTGGTCAGTGGAACCATTGGGTATTATTAGCCAATTATTAGTTAAAGTTTTCTTAAGAGGTTTGCTCACCTTGAGGTTTGAAAAACGTTTGACTGATTCGATTACCAAACTTATATCTATAAAAAATGCAATATTTGTATGCCCTTTACTCAGTCTTTTTTGGTTCGTATTTTTATAATGCACTTCTGTATCGAATTTCGTAATATGGTTGGAAATTGAGTAATGTTTCGTGCCTTGGAAATATTTGAATACACTCTTCAATTTGTTTTTAAAACTATTTACAGAATTTACAGAAACTCCGTTATGCAGCAGAATGAAAATACATGCTAAACCTTCTTAAAGCTGATTGATTTTCTATATAAAATGCTATCTTTTCATTCCCCATTAGGTGCGTGAACAAATGTAGAAATTCCATGCAATTTTACTGGAATTATATCAGAATATATTGCTGAAAACTTTCTAAACTAAAACGTTTTCTAAAATATGCCATCAACTTTCACTAGTCCGCTCCCGATCCCCAGCTCCAAAGCGAAAGAGATGGCAGACAGGAGCTAGAAGGAGACAGAGAGCAGAGCGTACGCGTGCAATACGTGGATGAGGCCATGAGGTAAAGAAGCGAAATAAAGAGACAGAGAGAGTGTGTTTGTTTCTTGGTTCATTATGAATTATCTTTATCAATTCGCCTTTCGTGTGAGTGTGTGTCCTCCCGCGGGATTCGCTCCCGAATACATTCATCTCTAAGAATAAGTTTAAATCGATAGTAACCGAACAAAAAAAATGCAAAAAAATATAGTATGATTCAATAATGGATAAACCGGCAAACGATGCGATCTTTCTGATCTTTCAGTGTCATTTCGGTTCGGTTCGGTGATTGGTTGCGGATGATGTGGGTGTTGCGGTGGCTGTAGTGTTGTTCGAGTTGTCAGCACTTTACATATTATAATTATACAAACATAATAATATTAACAACATTAGAATAATGCAAGGGATCGGAAAATACAGGGTGTATGGGATATGGGGTATGGGATCTGAGATGCGAGATGTGTGTGAGATGGAGCATTATAATTAACTAAAATTTAAATTTTACTGTGTAAAAAGTAAACCTTGTTCTGTTTTCTGGTGACAATAAATAAAAACATAGTATATCAATCTCGATGGAAACAAACAAAATAATAGTAATAATGTGAATCGAGTTATGGAGAGAAGTCCACGTGCGTGGTGGGGTGTATGTGTGTGGTGTGGTGTGTGTTAGCCTAGAGTACATAATTATAGTTGAATTATAGTTAATGTCGGATGGGGAAGGGGGGCTGTTGTAGGCAGATGTTGTAGGCAGCTCGCGTGGGCCGTGGGCCTGCAGCAGCGACCTACAAGGCAGCGATCACGCGATCGCACAGCTGTTCCGACTGCTGCTCGTCGGCGTCTTGCAGCGGTTCTTGCTCTTCGAGCTCTGCGTCAGCGAATTGTAGCACTGCGACGTGGTCAAAGCGTATGACTTGAGCGTGGACTTCACCGAGGGCGGCAGGGGCAGCGAATCGATCGCGTACACGCTCGTCCTTCGCACAATCGTCCGGCAGCACAGCTCCTGCAGCGAGAGCACTGTAGGCAGGAAAAGAACATCATTAGATATAAGGCATTTCATGTGGATACAAGCTCCTCTGGGCGCCAGTGCGTTTTTCATCTATCAGACAGTTGCAAACGTATGTACCGAAGCATAATTCTACCCACAAATATATTCCACCTCCCCCACAATTCCTACATTACTTCAGTCTTATAGCTTGTGCCTTCGAGGGACAATTAATCCATTGGCATTAACTCAATACCAGTCACTATTCGGACACCGAATATAAGCAGTGCAATAAACAAGTATGCATTTTCCAATCGTTAGCATTTTTCGAAGGCTCTGGTGATATCATATTTGATCACACAATAACTAGAATCTGCATAACATCTTAGAGTTTTAATAGGCTTCGACTCGCTCTGCAGCGTACCACAAATTGAAGAGCACAATTCACTTCTTTATAAGGAACTTCAACACAAGGAAAACATCAAAGTTCTGGATTAAAAAAATTAATTAACAATTAAATTAATGAGAAGGCGAAATAGAACGGTGTTCTGTGCGAGCGGCCAGCTTTTTGCAGCGGGTAGGAGCACTTTCTATAGAGCCCCAACTGTCAGCAAGCTACCTATAGTCAGGGTGCAGATATTGTAACAATGAAATGGTGAAATAGGTTCCTAAATTCTCTAAAGGCTTTACTTATTATCATCGATCAACAATGGAATTGGCTAGTTCAGTTCATAGAATAAATAATTCAATGACGGCTCTTTTCTAACATTTTCCTTGCAGCGACTTTTGGGAACTTTAAATTACATATTGCACCATTTATTACTCGCTCTCCAAAAGCACATTATAGATATGATCACTTTTTCTGGGATAATATATCACACTGATTATTGGCACGTTCTGAGATGGCTGATACGCATGTCTGCCTTTCGCTTTTAGTTTAAAAGACGCACTGCGAGCAGAAGAACGGAGTATGAGACTCAAGTTTACCCTTATTGCTCCGCCAAATGTGCTCCATGCCGTTGCGATGGAGCGCCATGCGGGCCAGCTCGCAGAAGGATTCGCGTATGTTGAAGTCGCAAAGCGGCGATATCTCAAAGCAGGACATGTTGTTGCGACTGGCATAGGTCTCGGCCTGTTTGGCGGCCACCTGCCGCTTGAACGCCAGATGTAGGCGATTTCCCACCAAAACCTTGGGTATGCCCGGAGCGTGCTGCCGGATCGGAAGAGAAGAGGGAGAATTATACATAGTCTCGAGTATTATTCGCAATCCAAAGTATTACTCACCTCGTCGACCTCTTTTAGCCAACGATCGATGCCATCGAAGCTCCATTTGTTGGTTATATCGTATACTAGTATAATACCTTGAGCGCCGCGCGAATACGACCGAATGATTGTACAGAATCGGCCCTGGCCGGAGGTGTCCCACAGCTGGAGCTTCACCCGCTTACCCTCCAATAGTATTGTGGTTGTCTTGTATGCTACCGTTTGGAGGATGTGAGAGGTGCAATCTGTAGGATTCGAATTGAGGATATTTTTGTGATTTTGGTCTCCAAGTGCCTCCGGTCTAAGTCTCTCTCTCTCTATTTGTCCTCTGGTCCACTCACCATTTCCGCTGCAGAAGGGACTTTCGGGGAATGGATCCTCCAGGTTCGAGAGTATCTCGTGCTTCCCCACATCGCTGTCACCCACCAGAAGAACTTTCAACAGATAGTCGTAGTCTTTTGTCATGGTTCCCATGTGGCTGAAACAGAACAGAATGGAACAGTGATTAAAGTTGAGCGACACTATCATCGGAGGGAGCCCCGATTAATTTTGACACAATTTCTAGATTATATACACCTTATAGGGCCGGTCACCTCCTCTGCCTTGCAAAAGAAAATGTAATTAATTTCTACAAACTGTTGGTCAATCCTTCAAGTTCTAGCTATTTTTTCTGTAACCGGGCTAACCGGTGTAAGCCACAAAAGTTTCGAGTGCAAGGTGCCAAAGTCGAACCGGCAATAGGCTATGATTATTTCTATAGCTGGTATTCGTAGGGTATCTGGAACTCCAAGAGCTAGAGGCCCAGAAAACTCCATGGCATTCATGGATGCGCAACGAAAGATGGTTTTTAACATGTACAATTCGAAACACACGAACCTCAAATTTGGCATATTGGTAAACATACCTATTATCTATCTGTATAACAAAAATAATTTCAATCGGATAAATATTACAGCGGCAATGGGTCAAAATTCATCCGAAAAGCGTATATCCCATAGTCGACATATGGCCTGTAGCCCTCTCTCATTCCTTCACGCGGTGTTGCTGTTGCTTTTGTGTTTGCCGTTCAATGACTCATCCATCTCACTCGCTCACACACAGCTAGGCGGGGCACCCACGGCGGCACGAGCGAGATGGAAGACAAGTGCCGCAGTGCAAATGCAAATCGAAAAAAAGTACGTATGTAAGCTAATTTATTATTTTGCATTTTTCGACGACACGCGCACTTGCTGTTATGTCGCACAGCTTAGTATTAGAGATTTTCAAGGGGTTAAGCTGCTGCGGAGATTTTGGTGGGTTAACCTGCTTCTGCGCTGCGGCGGGGGCGCCGGAGGGGTTTGGGTGTGTTTTTGTTTTGCAACAGAACGAAACGCACACACATACTCACACGCGCAAGCACAAAAACACTAACCTTTATTAACCATTTTGTTATGAATTATTTAATTATTTATTTTCTTTGACCGCGCCTGTAGTTGCATTTTTGCATTTTGTTTTTAAATTCACAAAAAAAATTCGCTTTGCTCATGAGGGGGTGTCTGTCGCAGTGTGGGTGTCGCTGTGCGTGCGTGTTTGTGTGATGCATGCCTTATTTTGATTGTTTTTCCTGCTGCTATTTGTTCCTATACTACACCAAGCTGCCCCAAAGATTTGTGGCTTCGTTTCGGGGTTCAATTAAGGTTTGTGGAGCCCGGTTTTGCATATAATCAGCTTTTTACCATTTAGAATGCACGCAATTTCATTTTTGGAATTTTAAATAGAGATGAGAGCGATATGCTTCGCCCTGTGGCCCCGTGCAGTGGTATTTTTGCGAATGTACTTTGCCAGGCAGCATGTAATCAACGTATAACTTTCAAAGCCATTAATGCAAGCCCTGTTTCCGCTTAATCGTTCGCTTTTTGTAGAGTTAGTCACTTTAATTGCATATTAATATATGCTTAAAGAAAAATGGTCTAAGATTTCCACAAATTGAATTGAATTAATTTTGCTACATGGCAACCCGGTGAGTATTATCGCATCTCTAATGGTCGCACTACACTTCAATTGGGTACAGTGTGACCAGCACTAAAAATCTTACGGGGGAAATCAGGTAGTGAGAGCGAAATGTATATATGCGCCAGTGTGAAATTTGTATTCAAGTTGGTGCCAAAGCAACAGCAAAGAGACCATAAATTCATACTCTGAAATATTTTGTATTTATTGTTGTGCTTGTTTTTGATATTATACCGGTATTGAAGTGTAGTGGAATATGACCTGAAGGAATTTGACGATAAGCTTATCGATACCATCGTCCCATCTCTAGGAAAGTTTCAAGGTGAGTTACATAGAGAGGGAAACGTTTTCGGGTGCTGCCATGTATGTTGCTAACAAATCCAATTTAATAATCAAATGAATGTTAGTGCAAATTTGTATTACTATAGTATATATGTATCTTGTTCCAATACATGCGAAAAATGGTTGGACTTGTTGCGTTGCTCAACACCCACACTGCTGCCGTCATTTACCAACACTCCCCATCCGCAATCAGCAGAGCAGTGTCGCAGCAGAGCAGCAGAAATTCGAAGCGCAGCCAAATATACACACACGAAATTATTGTAACGGCAACAGAGCAGCAGCCACAAAGCCGCAAAACGAATTTATTAAATGCACATTTATTTATAAACTTGTTAGTGCCAAGAAACGTGTTAATGCAACAGCAGATATATAGCAGTGCAGTCGCGTCGTCCTCGTCCTCCACCTCTGCTGCCGTTGGCTCTGCTGCTGCGGTCACCGTTGCCGCTGTTTTTGTTGCCCTCCATCTCCCCGCTCGACGGTGGTGCTAATGTGTTAATATTCTTCTTGTTTTTTGTTGCGGAAATTGTACTCGTGTGCTGTGCGTGTGAGTGTTTGCATATCTGTGTGATATGTGAAAGAAGAAAAGGTGAAACAAAAAGGCAAAGAGCATTCGTATGCAGGAATTGTCGTCATCGGTCGCCGTTACCATCAGCCGTCAGTCGCTGTCGCTGCTGTCTGTGTTCTCTGTCTGCGTCTCTGTCTGTGGCCGCTGCGTCGTACTGCTGCGTCCGGTTTAGATTCAATCAAGCGTCAAGAAATAAAGCACTCAAAACTCAAAAGCGCTGCCAACATTCTACCAATCCCGCATTGTCCCCTCCCCGCCGTTCACTCGCCTACCATTGTGTGCCGTTATTCTGTGTCGGCCGTGCCGTGTATGTGCGTGCGTGAGAGAGGGTCACACGGAGAGGCGACTACTGCAACGATCGACGCGAAAGAAAGGGGGGACCCACACGCACGGTGCGCGGAAAGTGCAGGCAAAAAGGCCATAAGAGCACGTGAGTGCGTGTGAGAGCAGGATACGCAGAAATCAGTGCTGCTGCATGAGAGCGGGACACCCAGAGAGAGGCGGTGCATCGCTTACGATCGGCGGGAGCCAGAGAGAAACTGCAGGGCTTGCGTGCGTGAGGCAACGGGTGCATTCAACTCCTCACGCACATATGCTGGCCCTAGCCAGACCCAGACAGCCGCCGCCGCCACCGCCACCGACAGCCAATCCCAGTCCGCGTCCAGCGTCCGCGTCCGCGTCCACGGCTCTGACAACAGCTCGAAATGCCTCTTCAGCTCCTCTGCTGAATCCCCAACGGAAACCGAATCTCGTTGAAGACGCCTCTGCACCATCCGCAACCGCAATGCTCGCCTCGACGTCAAACGGTGCCGCTGTCTCTGCCGGCGCCACCACCGCCGCCGCCAGCGCAATGGATGCCTGCGACGAGCGAACGCTGCTGCTGAGCGGGTCACCAAAGGAGGATGTCGCTGCTCTTGCTCCTTCTCCGCCCACAACGCTGCCACTTGTCCATACGACAACCACGACGTCGACACATCCGTCCCAGCAGCGCCACCAGCAGCGGCAGAACATTAACAACAACAATACAAGAAACGAGGCCAGCGCGAGCAGCGGCAGCAGTTGCGGCGCTAGCGCCAACGCCAGCAGCAACAACAACAACGAGAACAGCACGATATCTGCGGACGGCGACGCTGACGGTGACGTCGAAGCCGGCGCTGGCGCTGGCGATGATCTGTCCAGCGATCTCAGCGATAGATTTCCACGCCCACCCGCCACCGGCAACCCCAAGAAAGCCGGAAAACTGAGCAAGTTGGGAACCAAAAGCGTCGGCTTGAAACGGTGGGTTACACTCTACCGTGACCCTGACAATGTTTCCCCCTCGCTCTGCTCCTCTACTCCAATCTTTCCCTCTCTATCTCTGTCACTTCAGCGTTTCCTTCGGCTCCTCCAAGGGATCCATGGTGGAGACATTGGTCTTTGAGACGCCCACGCCGCTGTCGGAGCACGTGGAGGCGACCTTTGGCTTTGAGGCGGCGACCTCCGCGACAGATGGCGTTGCTGTGGCCGCGGGTCAGCTGCAGCAGGCGTCGCAGTCGCACCTTCCGCTAGCCGGACACGGTGACTATGCAAAACTAAATATGGACGACAGCGGCATTGAGGTTCAAGAAGAGTAAGTATCTGTCGTGTGGATATATGTACATACATAATTGCATAGTTCTGTAAACATCTGTGGAGGGTATCTGTAAAAGTATCTCAGAATCAACAGGAAGCACATAGCCTCTGGGTAGCTGTCTTTGGAGATTCATTCCTTCGGCATGAATAGGATAAATAGGCAGTGTCTTCATGGGAATATATATTTTAAATCAGATATAAGATGTGGAGGCTGTGGCATCCACAATTTTTGGTAGAATTATGTATCTAACATTCGACTGAAACTCCAACCCAACCCAACCCCCTCCCTCTCTCTCTCTCTCTCTCTCTTCCAATTAGATCCGTTTCCACTTAATCTGAGTTGGAGTACCTACAGTAGACATTCGGCGAATGAATCCCGCTACTGCTGCCGCTCCCCCTTCCTATTGTGTCTCATTGCATGGTTTTATGTGCCCTGAATTAGGGCCTACTTTTACCTCATTAAAAAATCCGTCTAATGACTTTTGGCAGCTTTCACTTTTGTTTCGCTCGGTTTTTTATGTGTACCCCACATTCTCTTCTTTTTTCGGTTTTTCGGGCCAATCCATAACTAAGCTGCTGCGGCAGATGGCTGATCCCCTCCTTAGCGGCCCTTTTTCCCATGCAAAAGAGCTGCCTTTTCACCCAGAAAGCATGCAATGAACTCTGTGCCACTCCCCCCCCCCCCACGCTTCTCTAGCCGCTTCCTGGCTTAAAACACACGAAAAATATTTTTTAAATCGATAATTACGCTGGGGGCTGGCAGTTCCGTTTAAAGAGACATGCACAAGCCATGCACACATGCAAACGTTAGACGCTGTGTGTACCGTTATCCCATTTCCACTCTCTCTCTCTCTCTCTCTCTCTCTCTCTCGCTGTCTGTCTGTGTTCTTATCATTTCAATTGGAAGATGGTTTTAGGTTTGTTTGGTATCCATCGTCCTTTTGCATGCCCTCTTGCATGTCGGGTGCATTGCAGGCAGTGCTTGTGGTATAGTGATTCTGAACAGAGATTTGTTTCTTATAGCTTGCAACTTTTCACAAAACCCCGAGTTCCATTCAAGGTGGTACTCGTATTATTTCAAGTGCATTCATATTGATTATATTTCAAAATTGCAATGCATATTAAAGGTTTTCCCTTAAACCTTCCCTTCCCTATTGATTCTATTGGTACCCTTTTTCGTGGTGTTCCTTTCGCATCGTGTTCCACCTCCACCTCTGCCGAAGCAAACTCCAATTGAAGTTTTTAATGCGCCGGCGCTGCAGCCGACGTCGTCGCGACATCGTTATCAGTTGTCGTCTTGGGGACTTGGGGCTGCGACTTGCTACTGGGATACCGTTAAGCTGCTCTGCGTCATCGCTTTATTACATAATGACTTGCTGTCTCCGTCTACCTTTCACCCTCTCTCTCTTTCTCTCGCTGCGTGTGCGTGTGGGGAGTGTGTGTGTGTGTGTGTGCATTTTAAAGCAATATAAATGTGGGTCAAACTTCGTTTGGTGGTTGTTGACCCACATCTTTTTTGGCTGCATTTGTGTATCTGTCTTCGGGTCTATGGGCGCGGCAGCCGGCACCCACCCCCTCAGCAATTTATCGTTCTCTTGTGTGGTGTTTAAAACCTCTCATCGCGCCATTTGAGCGGGTCTATCGATTGCTATCTTCATTCATAAAAGCGATAACTCACGCACTTATCGAAAGTACAATAAGTGGGGTCTACTACACGGATTTTTATTTTTTTTGGAAAATGTAATTTCTTTTGGTATTTTGGTAACCATTTTCTTTTCAAAATATAAAGCTGTTTAGTCAAACAGTTAGTTTTTTTTCTGGAATCAAGTCCGAAATAATTGTCGGAATACCACTTGCGTTTCTTGACGAATCAACGCAAATATGACAATCATTTTCGCTGTCTTTTCTTCCACTTTTGGTGAGATTAGGCCACACATTGGTGACCTTTTTGTTGAACGGACAACGGATTCCAGCGTATTCTCTGCGCACCCCACATGCTTCCGAATGTGTGCTTGTGCTTTGTAGAGAGCTTTAATTCGCCGGTCGAGTCGTCGAGTCGTTGAGTAGAGCGTGATGTCATCCAGCTATGAAGCTTAGAGAGCGGTCACCTGCTGTAGAACTTTCTTTCTTACAGTTAGTTAGCCACAGAGGACAGAGGAAGGGAATTAAAGAACTACTATAGTCGATACCCATTCCCAATCCCCCAAATAGAATTGGAACATTCTTGGGAATGACTACTGGTTTTGTTGTTGATATTTGATCTAAAAAGCTGTCGAAAAAGCGCTCTTAATATCTTGGGATGTGTGGATAGCGCGGAGAAAGGGAATCGCTAAAACTATCTCTTCCTAGCTGAATGGATTGCCCAGCTTGCTTAAACTAAAATCTATGACTGCAACACTGCCTGAATCCGATATACCCCTGCACACCCTTCACCCTACGTCGTGGAACATCAAGTACTCGTAGAATGGGTTTGTGCTGTCGGTCTTCGTATTATCGATTATGTGGTGAGGTGTTGCCCAAGGAGGAGGGAGGCTGCATCAACAGCTGGCCTCGGACTCGTACTATTCCCCGCCTCGCCTCGCCTCCCCTGACATGATTCTGTTTTGGGTCTGTCTTTCAAGTGAGCGATAGAAATTCGATCGCCCCATTGTGCTTGTACATGTACATGGCACCTATACCACATCTCTGTCGCTGGGGCCTTGCATCTATCTATAACCATTGTGAAAGTACATCTCGAACTGTCCGTCAATTGATTTTCCGGTACCCACGGACGACCGAGCCGGGCACACTCTTGACATGCATAGAGCGCCCATCATCGTCATCATCATCATCATCTGCGAGTACATACATATGTATGAATGTGCTCCTCCTCTCCTCCCATCATCAGAGCTTCCCACAGCCGAAGCAGAAGCCAAAGCAGAAGTAACGGCAATAGCCACCACATCGCCCATTGTCACTCTGTTGTAATGCCTAACGGTAATTGTGCCTCTGGTCAGCAGTGCGTTGCTGTGCTACTGCACTCTGCCTGCCCGCCTGCCTGCCTGCCTGCTGTTCTGCTGCTTCTTGCATTGTTTTTGCCGCTGCCAGCAGCATTACAGTGGGATGAAGTAGAAGAAGATCGCACATAATCCACAAATGCTACAGGTGCCTCTCCGTTTGCAGATCCTGCGATCGTCGTGTAAAACTTAATCTCTTGGTAAAACCAAAACACATGTGATTTCATTTTCGCATAATGCTCTGTCCGCCATCGATCTTCGATGCGAGCCATTATCAGTGGTATTGTAGTCATATGTACGAGTACTTATCAAGCTTTTTAACACTCAAAAATAATCTCAAATCACTTTAATGCCCAAAAATATAGGAAATCATAAATCAAGGGGAGTGAGGGTTTTAGGCGGTGAGTAGTAAGTGCTATAAATAGATGGATTGGGTCATGTGCGCCGTCATATTTAAATTGGTAGCGCTCTTTTGTACCACTGTGCCCGCAGCCCTATTACCTATTTACGTGAGGAGCATCTCTCTCTCTCTCTCTGTTTGCGTGCACATGTATGAGTGGTTGAGCGATCTACATAGTTTCGTGAACAATAGAATGTGGCGGAGGGGCCTCCGGGAGCCATAGACGTTCACCTACGCGGGACCCCAACTTTCAGCATCAGTCAGTGCCAGCCGACCCCACTGTGCGCCAGTTAGCCGCGGGGCAGCCCTCTACTGCTGCTGCCAGTGGCAGCCCTGTTAATCAACTGACAGTCCCCCCCCCCTATATGCATGTCCTCTTCTCCCTTTTTATCTATTTCCATCTATCAGCCAGCTTCCCCCTTCCCGCCCCCTTCACCCGCACCATACCTTTATGCGGTTACGTGTTTATGTTTTTCCTTTTCAGATTTTTTTTTATTTTGTATTCTTTTTTTTTATTATTTTCGGTTTGCTGCTGCTGTGTATAACAGCATGAGAGACGAAGAAGTAGAGCGAGAGAGAGAGCTTACTTACGCTAGCAGCAAGAGAGACAGCTGTGCTTGCTCTCTTTAACTGACTCACACTCCTCTCGTCTCTCTTCCATTACTTTGAGTGCGCAAAAAAAGTGATGTCATGTTTGTTGGCTTAACGACGTTGCCAGATGTGGCGCACACAGGTTTTGTTTGCTTATTATACCCTTTCAGAGGCTATGATGGTTTCAAACAAATGTTTGGAACGCTTCTACGTCTTCCACGTGGGTTAGGTCATGGTTCCGCAGTGTAACTTTGCATAGAGTCATATCTTTCCTACACGAAGAATACAAGTGAATGCATACACAGTATACATGAAGCAATAATAACATATTAATCGACGTCTTTGCAAGGGTATTAAAAGCTTCGGCACCCGAATCTATCCTTTTCTCTCTTGACTGTGTTTTTGTTTGTACTGTATTACACGAAATGTGCGTTGTTGTTGCTTTTGTTTGCTATTGCGCATCGTAGCTTACAACAAAACGACGCAAATGATTTCTGGTTTTCGCTTTTCCGGATGGGCTGCCTTTGTGATTCTGCCGCTAACACCACAGCAGCTGCCAAAAAAAGAGATTGCCGGCTGCCGTTTCGTGTTTGTTTTTGTTTGTCCGAAAACCAGAACTTTTTGCGCGCCGTTTTCGCGCCGATCCGCTTCCAGGCCAGCCAGGGAAATGCACGAATATTTTGGAAATGGAATGTTTTTCTTTTCTTAAAATAGAACGCATTAAATACTCGTATGTACATGACAGGCGGCTGAATGCTGGCACATTTAAAGTATGAATCTTTTGTTTATTTTTTGGGTGCCATGAAATGTACGGAAATCGTAACGTCCAGCCAGGCGGAGCTGAGTAGAGTTTTTGTGTGTCAGAAATGCAATGAGGAAATCCAATATATATTTTTGTTTTTACAGGTGTAAATCCGAATTAATAAAAGATTACTACGCGCTACCTTAAATCCAGCAACCAGGTGGCAACGCTGCTTGAACTTCAAATGAAATCAGAGAGAGAGAGCTAAA